CAAAACAATTAAAAACAGCAATTAAAATATAATTCACATTCATGAACCAAGAAAACCAGTACTTTAAGGAATATTTCTTGCAGAAAAAAATGTTTGAAAGCATTACCCATCATAATGATAACAACAGTAATGTGAATTGTGCATTTCAGATTGTATTTTACAATATTACTGACACCTATCTTGTATAAGAGATGCAGTACAGGTTGGCTTGATAAAATTCAAGCTTTTTTGCCTCTAATCTCATAACCCCTGGAAATGCCTCTCTAATCTCATGACCTATGGGATGCTCCCTCTAACATCCTGACCCCTGGGAATCCCCTTTAACTTCCTGACCTTGCAAATTCCCCTCTAACCACATGACCCTTGTAAAGTCCCCTAACCTCATGACCTTGGGAATACCCCTTTAACATCATGACCCTTGGGAATCCCTGCCTAAATCTTTTACTTCTGCATGTATGCTGTCAGAAAATATTCATCCTATCTCAGTAATTTATGACTTTATCAATTTTACCTTTTCATTCCACCTCTGGGCCTTGAGACTTGACTACCAAATTATCCCTTTTATCTTATCATCACAAAGTTGTGTTGCAATACTACCCAAAGAAGCATGATGAGAAGGTGTAATACAAAAATGAAAAGATGGACAGATGGTAACAAAAAATCCCCATTACTGCTAAATAAAGGATGAGGATAATACATTTTTGAAAATATTATCTACTGTGAAGTGGGTGGATCTAATACAATTCTCCTTTCCTTTTTTCCAAAGAAGCAAAAAACTGTTAGGTTTAATTCAAAGGTGGCTGCTAGTGGACTATATTTTATTTCAAGATATTTTGCATTAAGAAACCTTAAGATTTGAATTGGCTGCTGCACTGAATATCAACCAACCTGTGTTTCCATGGTAACAATGACTTCAAAATTTGTGACAACATAATGATGATGTATATATTCATAAAATATGACATACAGCTGAAGTTATGAATCTTATAAACTTGCACATAATAAAAAAGATTAAAATGTCAAAAATATAAACTCTAAGACACCACGTTCTTAAATTGTACATAAATTTAAAATTAAGACATTATTATTTGCAAATTCCAGGTATAATGATGAAATTAATGCTTATTAAAGATTTTAAAGTACCTTCCTTATCAAAATACTTCTGATACAAACAGATAGTTCCTGCATTTTCTAATTATATAGTTTTCTGCAATAACTACATATACTCTATTTGATTATGTACATTTATGTTAGTAATATATCCAATTTAAGTCAGCAGACAAAACATGAATGGCTATTTATTGCATATAGTTTGTATTTTCACTCAAGCAATATACAGAATCATAAATCTGAGATACCACAAATTGTCTTGTTTCGAGATTATGGCTATAATTTTTTTTACAGGGTTTAGTTTTCTCCAGGTTCCATAATATCACAATGCGAAAATGGCAGAAACATTTGTATACCGGTAAAAATCTGTTTAATATTGTACTAATTTTTATAAATCTAGCTTTCATATAAAAACACAAATTTACACATGCAACTATACAGCATTATTAGAGCCCTCACTCATATAAAAAATGTGATCAACTTAATATCATCTTTTACCTTTTTGGAGGCAAAAATTAAAGGCATTGAGAAACAGCCCATCTATACTGGGCTAACTTTAAAAATTTACAAAAATTTTTGTAATAAAGTACCTACTTACAAAGTTCAGTGAGCAAAATACCTGCACATTAAAAGATAAAATGTAAAACAAAAAATGCCTATACAAAAATATGATTAAAAAGAACAATAAAATACATTTCATTATACAAACTGAGAAACATAAGCTTCATATATGTAAATCATTGATAGTACATGTACATTCAATACATAATTACAAACTACATTTTTGTAGATTTGAAATTATTTCTTTATACAATAAGTTTTAAAATTATAGGATGCTAAATGCACATTCTTTATTAAACTTGAACATATTAAAACAATCAATTGGGAAAAAGCACTAAACTTGTTCTCGAATGAAAAAAAATGGCACTTGAGATACATAAAAACATAGTACAATGAAATAACAACATTATCATTTCTAGTGTATTTTAAAGTAAATATAACCTATACCTTGCTTTCTCCTAACCAACCTTGTGAATACAGACCAGGGTTGTTTGCATGCCATGCCAAGGATCAAAGCAATGCTGTAAAACGTGTGACTTCGAACCAAAGTTAAACAGTTGAGAAAGTATGTTGCAGAATGAATGAATTTAGTTTCATAATGATTCATTCAAAGTATGAAGAAAATCCATTAAGAGTTTTTTAAAATATAAACAAACCAAAAGCTTTTATCCAAAATCTTACCAAAGATATTCTATTAGTGACCTTGAGCAATTGTCATATAATAAATTGTCTTAACTTCGTGTTTCATGCCAAGAATGATGATAATCTATCAAGGGGTTGAGGAAATATTAGCAAATGAAACAATGTTTTTTATTCTATAACTGTGACC